TTAAGTCCAGTCATGTCTGACTCTGGGGTGTGGTGCTCATCTCCATTTCTAAGCCTAAGAGCCAGCGTTGTCTGTAGACACCTCCAAGGTCATGTGGCCGGCATGACTGCATGGAGCGCTGTTCCATCTTAGAATCATCTTAGAATCATAGAATCAAAGAGTTGGAAGAGACCTCCTAGGCCATCCAGTCCAACCCCCTGCCAAGAAGCAGGAATATTGCATTCAAACCCCCTTGACAGATGGCCATCCAGCCTGTTTAAAAGCTTCCAAAGAAGGGGCCTCCACCACACTCTGGGGCAGAGAGTTCCACTGCTGAACGGCTCTCACAGTCAGGAAGTTCTTCCTCATGTTCAGATGGAATCCTCAGAGGTTATGGCAAGCATCCTCACAACCTCTGAGGGTGCTTGCCATAGATGCAGGCGAAACGTCGGGAGAGAATGCCTCTAGAACATAACCATATAGCCCGGAAAAAACCTACAACAATCCAATGATTAAATATTCATTAAAAAGCCAGAGCAGAATGAGGTGCAGGATGATGTCCCTCCCTCAGAAACAAAGTTATTGCCATTTAATAAACCTTTTCCATGTTTTTATGATAGAACCAATTAGGAAATGACATTTATATACCCAGGAACAGAAAACGTGTTGCATAGTGTAACACGACATACCGTGGCAAAAGGAGAACACCAGCTCTGCCCAAGAGCCTCCAGGCCAGCGACTCGGCCGTCCTCCGGTCAGCTTCCAAAGTCTCTTTGTGGGTCAGAATGAAGACCAGAGGGAGGCCCAACTGCAAGGAAGGCGTTGAAACCTTTTGGGGGTCTCCAGTGACTTCCACCTGGAGAAAACAGAAGTTGTTCATTCCCTGGAACCCCATAGCAGGGTGCCCCCCTCACCCTAACTTTTGGAAAGAGAGTTGTTTTAGTTTTGAATACAGTCAAGTGCAGAAAACAGCAAAGAATGCCTTCAAAAACTCATTTTTTGCGTGTCTCTGCACCAGGCATGGGCCAACTTGGGCCCTCCAGGTGTTTTGGACTTCAACTCCCACAATTCCTTACATCCTACCAGCTGTTAGGAATTGTGGGAGTTGAAGTCCAAAACGCCTTGTAAGCAGCTCTGAGTCCGCTTCGGGGTGAGAAGGGTGGCATATAAATGTCGCAAATAAATAAATAAATAAACAAGTGTGTAGGGCTGACTGTACTTTCATAGGCTCCAAGACCTCAGATGTTGTTGTTGTGTTTGTTTATCTATATTTTTTCTCTCCATAAGGAGACTCAGGCCCTTTCCACACAGCTATCTGCTTTGAACGGGGTTATATGGCAGTGTAGGCTCAGATAATCCAGTTCAAAGCAGATATATTTTGGATTATCTACCTTGATATTCTGGGTTATATGGCTGTATGGAAGAGCCCTCAATGTTGACAACTTCCACAGGCATAGAGAAACCAAAGAGGGAGTAGAGGCACAATGAATCTGTTCTGGGTTTTAATCCAAATTGAGAGGTGGGGTCCAACATGTTGAATTTTGTATCCTTTATAGCAGCGTTTCTCAACCTGTGGTCAGGTCTCCTGGGAAGGGTTGCGAGGGGGTGTCAAAGGGGTCACCAAAGACCATCAGAAAACACAGTATTTTCTGTTGGTCATGGAGGTTCTGTGTGGGGAAAGTTTGGCCCAATTCTATTGTGGGTGGGGTTCATAATGCTCTTTGATTGTAGGTGAACTATAAATCCCAGCAACTACAACTCCCAAATGTTAATGTCTACTTTTCCCAAACTACACCAGTGTTCACATCTGGGCATATTGAGCATTTGTGCCAAGTTTGGTCCAGATCCATCATTGTTTGAGTCCACAGTGCTCTCTGGATGTAGGTGAACTACAACTCCCAAACTTAAGGTCAATGCCCACCAAACCATTTTCTGTTGGTCATGAGAGTTCTGTGTGCTGAGTTTGGTTCAATTCAATCATTGTTGGAGTTCAGAGTGCTCTTCGATTGTAGGTGAACTATAAATCCCAGCAACTACAACTCCCAAATGACAAAATCAATTACCTTTCTCCCCAACTCCACCAGTATTCAAATGTGGGTATTTGTGCCAAATTTGGTCCAGTGAAAGAAAATACATCCTGCATGTCAGATATTTACATGACGATTCATAACAGTAGCAAAATTACAGTTATGAAGTAGTAATGAATATAATTTTATGATTGGGGGGTCACCACAACATGAGGAACTGTATCAAGGGGTCACGGCATTCGGAAGGTTGAGAAACACTGCTCTACAGAATACCTTCAGTATCTTGGATAACTTCTTTAAAGTTTAGACTAAAGCCCAAAACAGATTCAACATGCTCTCATGAGCAACGGTGAGTGCAGAAGAATTCTGGACAGAGTTTGGGGAGGTCTCCGCCACTGCCCAACATACCACGAGGGGTTCCCGCATCAGCTTCAGGAACTTGTGGACGGTTAACGTCGTCAGCGGCCACTCCATCCGGGTCCTTCGGCACGGCTGGGAGGGATCCGTTTGCACGGCACAATGGCAGAAAAAGAGCTGCGAAGAGGGGACTTCGGGCTCTCCACTGCTGTAGGACAAAGAAACACACGAGAAGGCAAACTTCAGCAGTAAGGAAATATATGGTACTCGACTTTCAGCAGAAAAACAAGAAATGCAGATGCAGGATGGGTGACGCTGGGTTGAAAAGAGTCCAAGAGGAAGGGATCTAGGAGTCTTAACAGAGCATAAGAAGACAGGGAGAGGCAACAGCCAAAAAGGCCAATCTAGTTCTATGTTGTGTCCATAGGAGTCCACTGTCTACAAATGAAGGTCCCACTCTCTTCTGCTTGTTTTCTGCTGCCCTGGAAGCCAGGACACAAAGGAACAGTGGGTTCAAATTGCAGAAAAAGAGATTACAACTAAACATTAAGAAGAACATCCGGATAAGACCTATTCAGCAGTGGTCTAGACTGCCTGGTGTCTAGCACAGTCTCCTTCTCTGGAAGTTTCCAAGCAGAGGCTGTATAGATGTATGGTCAGGAGGGCTTAGATGGTGTCTTCCTGCCAGGGAAAATGGGGTTGGACTGGATGATCCTTGGGGTCTCTTCCAGCTCTACAATCCTTTGATTCTAAGGTGGGTACAGGATTGAAATTAACTCTGACATAGGGAAGCTGATGAGGAGAAATTAACCACTGACCGCAGAGGGAAGCTGATGAGGAAACACAACATACAAACTATGTACAGACCCACCAAGAAAATCCAACAAATGCTTCGTTCAGCAAAGGACAAGAGGGATCCTCTCACCTCTGCAGGAGTCTACCGTATTCCATGCAGCTGTGGACAAGTCTCCATAGGGATACAGCTGTATCTCGCTGTATACCGCTGTATCTCCATGAGATACAGCGGTATACAAGAATAGTAAATAAATAAATAAATAGGGACCACCAAACGCAGCAGCATTGCCCAAACACGAATCAAGGAACATGAAAGGCACTGCAGACTACTTCAACCAGAGAAGTCAGCCATAGCAGAGCACCTGATGAACCAACCTGGACACAGCATATTATTTGAGAACACAGAAATGCTGGACCACTCTCACAACCACCACGTCAGACTACACAGAGAAGCCATTGAAATCCACAAGCATGTGGACAATTTCAACAGAAAGGAGGAAACCATGAAAATGAACAAAATCTGGCTCCCAGTATTAAAAAAACAGCACAACAACAGAGAGGAAACAAACAAGGACATCTAATCACCTCGCAACAAAAGATTGCTCCAGGCACCACCAGGCAATCAAATGCTAATCAAGGTGGTCAGTTGAAACATTCACACCTAGCCTCAGCAGACAAAATCCTTTGTCCCACCCTGGTCATTCCATAGATATATAAACCCATTTTCCTAGTTCCAACAGACCTCATTACCTCTGAGGATGCTTGCCATAGATGCAGGCGAAACGTCAGGAGAAATGCCTCTAGAACATGGCCATGTAGCCAGAAAAAAACCTACAACAACCCAGTGATTCCGGCCATGAAAGCCTTCGACAATACATTGAACTCTGGCATAGTTGCAATTTGAGATATGGATGCTATGTCTCATATCTGGAAAAAAATAACTCTTTGGGAGGTCTGTATCTGGGAAAAAAGTACTTATTTGCTCCATATTTCTGTCAGAGTAGTGTTAGTAACCCACAGAATGTCTCAGCTCCTTTTAATCTCAGTGTGATAAAAATTCAAACATTACACTTGAGTCTGTTGCTTTAAGTAGAAACAAAAATATAGTTCTATCCACTGTAGATCAAAAACACAAAACAAAACAGAAGAATTGTTCTCACCAATATACAACAAACAGTATCTCTGGTGAATCCTCTTCTTCACATGACGATATGCAAACGCATAGCAAAATAATACAGTCTCGCTTCTTAGTTATCTGTAGAATGTCCTTGTCTTGCCATAAACAAGAAGTTTCTCTGGCATTCCAAACAGCTTCACTCTTCACCTTCAGGACGCTGCATAACCACTCCCAGCAACAGCAAAAGGTTTCTTCAGCTCAAAACAAACCATCAAATGAAGCCAAAATGCAAAGCTCAAAAACTTGCAAACCTAGTGCCTTGTTATATGATGAATGTTGGATCTCAGCCTGTGATTGTGTTTCAGGATCAGGGTGCTTTGGATGTAGGGTGTGATGTCAATGAGTTGCAAGATGAGTTTCAAGATGGCAATGGTTTGGCCCGTGAGATCGATGCAGAGAATGACCAGGAGATCCCTGTTCAAGGTGTAGTTTCCCATGAGAATGTCCCTGAGGAGTGTGGGGATGATGGTGTGCTCTCTGAATTGTTACCAGAGAGTTCCCATGATAGAGAACATGAAAACAGCTCGCCATCTGGCCCAGCTGAAGAAATTAATGAGCAAATAGATAGACGGGAGGAGATCAGTTAAAACAGGAGAGTCGAACAGTGGCTTCGGTGTTCTGCCAGGCTCCGAGAGAAAAAGATAAGAAATTCTCAGCTAAAGCGAAACCAATTTCTGAGCTGGAGACATAGCTAACGAGGAGATAAAAGTCCCAAGTACAGGATATGTAGTCAGATGAAGCATTGTTTGGAATCAAGTCAAGACCTCGTCCTAGTTCATGGAAACTTTACTTGGAAAATTCATGTTTTGAGTGCCTTTGTTTCATGGTTTTGCTTCTTGGATTTTATGCTTCTAAATTAATGCCTTGAATTCATGTTTCCTGATTTCTTGCATTTTATTTGGGAAGTTTTGACTTCGTTTTTATGGACTATTACCCTGGACTACTTTGTCCCTGCTTATCTTCCTACCTAATTGGATTTACCTATTGCTTTAAAGTGCTTTTTTTACCTTACTGCTTTTTAATTATTTTCAATAAAATAATTGTTTTTCATCCAACGGTGTGGTATTTGAAGTCAGAGGGCTTTTCCTGTCTTGGAGTGCAACAATGAAGCAGATAACATACCCAATTAACTTGTAACAGAAAAGGTTCTGATCCTCCCTGTTACTTAGAATAAGCCTGTTGTAAATCCATAATAGCAAAAATTTCTACATCCACATCAACCCCACATTGGCCTCATTAGCACCATACACAGAAATTAAAGCAGCCATATGTGTTCCCTGGCCACTATCGGCTGAATACGTACCGGATGCTCCTCAGAAGGGCCACTTCGGTGGTTAAGGCAAACTTGAACGAACCATAGACAAAAGCTGCCTCCATCACAACTCTGTGTTCTGGAAAAAAAAAGAGAAATATACTCTGCAATTTAATGTAGAACACCAATCTACTGCTTCTTCTCTCGCTCACAGAAAAATATGGCCAGGCTGTAAATTGCAATGAAGTTACCAAAATCAGAAAGGAACCTGGTAAATCTGCACGGTTGTGTTGTGGCTGAGATGTTCTCTGATGACGAGGATGATGGGATTCAGATTCCTAGCTCTTTTTCTGTGCCTCACATCTCTGGGCCTGCTTCTAGGTCTTTTTCTGAGGCCACAGACAGTGCAGAGTCAGACAGTGCAGAGTCAACACAGCGGTTCTCAGAAGAAAAGAATTTTAACGAAGGAGAAAGCGAACAGGTGGGGAGGCATTTGCCTCCTTCCCACGCTGGTACTGTAAGTACAGAAAGCCTTGACAGTGACCTGACCTGGCAAGCTCGTCTCGATTTGCGGGTCAGGCGGAGTTCTCGCCTGGCCGGCAGACGAGAAGCCAGCTCGGGGAAAGGTCATCGCAATGCTTTCATGTTGGTGAGAGCATAATGTTTTCATGTTAGAAAGGTATTTAGGCTTCTTTCAAACTAAGAGAAAGCGTCAGTTCAACGTAGCTTATTAGCCTGAAAAAGCTTCATGGAATAACCTTAGCCTGGAAAGTAGTACGCTTGGGATTTCTTGCATTGTGATTCTTGGGGCAATTGTTTCATTGCTTGTAACTTGGACTCTGGTTTGAACTTTGCCTATAGGATTGTGCCTCTTGTTTTTACCTGAAGATCTTTGGAACTATATTCTGCATTTAACCTAACTCTTTGGAACTTTGCAATGCTTATTCTTTATTTTGACTTGGGGTGCCTGCGCCCTACACCACTGGAGAAGCAAGGTGAAGCTAACTCTGAGTTGCAACAGGTTGTTCCTGTGTTGTCAATATTGCTTCCTAATTGGTTCTATCATACAAACATGGAAAAGGTTTATTAAACTCCAAAAACCTTGTTTCTAATGGACATCCTGCAGTACATTTTGCTCCATTTGTTCCATGAGTATCTTATCATCGAGTCTCAACCCATTTAACATAGTTCAAAGTAAGGTCCACACAATTAAACAGGAAATAACACTTTCAAACCAGGAACATATTTTTTTTCCAAATTCGTTACATAGTGTTATGACTCCAAAAACCACGGCATTCCCCTCATTCATTTCAGATCTACATCCATTTTAGATGAAAATTATGGCAGTACTGCCACAAAGGCCGGACCCCTGTTGATGTCTTACTGGGCATTTTCACGCAATGTAGGAATTTGCAATTAAAAAGTTGCAGAATGCATTGCATCATGACATCATTACTACCAGCTCAGACTCAAAATAGCTAGTGTGTGCAAATAAGCATTGGCCATGTGGATGTGGATGTCTTTGGCTGCACATAGGTAGCACAGTGTTGCAATTCAGTAAGGTTGCTGCATTGTGCAATTATCACATTAGCACAGCCTTCTTGATGGTAGAACAGAAGCTTTCCGAAGCTCTAGGTGCTCTTACTGCCTATTACAGGGAAAACCAGCTGATCCCTAATCCATCTAAAACACAGACATGTGCCTTTTACCTCAAGAACAGAGAAGCATCCCGAGCTCTGAGGATTATTACCTGGGGAGGAATCCCACTGGAGCATTGCAGCGCACCCAAATACCTGGCAGTCACTCTGGACCGTGCTCTGACCTACAAGAAGCACTGCCTGAACATCAAGCAAAAAGTGGGCGCTAGAAACAATATCATACGAAAGCTGACTGGCACAACCTGGGGGTCACAACCAGACACAGTGAAGACATCTGCCCTTGCGCTATGCTACTCTGCTGCTGAGTACGCATGCCCAGTGTGGAACACATCTCACCACACTAAAACAGTTCTAGCTTTATAAAGTCTTAAGCCTTCCTTGCCAGAGTGCTGTGACTCATAGTCCAACCCCCTGCCATGCAGGAAAAGCACAAAGTATCCCTGACAGATGGCCATCCAGCCTCTGTTCAAAAGCTTCCTCACCAATCTGCAAATTACAACATCTCATAGCATTGGATCGAGCTCTGAGGATCACCTGGGAAGGAATCCCACTGGAGCATTGCAGCACACCCAAATACCTGGGAGTCACTCTGGACCGTGCTCTGACCTACAAGAAGCACTGCCTGAATATCAAGCAAAACGTGGGTGCTAGAAACAATATCATACGAAAGCTGACTGGCACAACCTGGGGATCACAACCAGACACAGTGAAGACATCTGCCCTTGCGCTATGCTACTCTGCTGCTGAGTATGCATGCCCAGTGTGGAACACATCTCACCACACTAAAACAGTGGATGTGGCTCTTAATGAGACATGCCGCATTATCACGAGGTGTCTGCGCCCTACACCACTGGAGAAATTACACTGCTTAGCCGGTATCGTACCACCTGACATCCACCGGGAAGTAGCAGCCAATAGTGAAAGGACCAAGGCAGAGACATCTCCAGCTCATCCCCTGTTTGGGTATCAGCCAGCACGTCAACGACTTAAATCTAGAAATAGTTTTCTAAGATCTACAGAGACACTCGCTGGAACACCTCAGCAAGCGAGAGTCCAAAAGTGGCAGGCTCAAACCCAGAACCTCAATCCATGGCTGATACCAAACGAGAGACTCCCCCCTGGGCACACAGAAGACTGGGCGACTTGGAAGGCGCTGAACAGACTGCGCTCTGGCACCACGAGATGCAGAGCCAACCTTCAGAAAGGGGGCTACAAAGTGGAATCCACGACATGCGAGTGGAGAGGAGCAAACCACTGACCACCTGCTGCAATGCAACCTGAGCCCTGCCACATGCACAATGGAGGACCTTCTTGCAGCAACACCAGAAGCACTCCAAGTGGCCAGATACTGGTCAAAGGACATTTAATCAACTACCAAACTCACAAATTTTGTATTTTGTCTGTTTGTTTGCTTTGTTCTGTTAGAAATGTAATATAATTGACTGGTTGCTGATGACTCGATAAATAAAATAAGCCTTCTTGAACCAGGAGTCCTTGCCATACCACCTCACAACAGCAGGTGGCAGGATTGTGCGCAAGTTCTGCTTCAAAATGTGCCAAATGTCCTGCACATCTGCAAGAAGACCCATGCATGCCAAGCATTGGAATCACAAGTGAAGACATAACACTTTGTGTTACTGGGTTATTTCCTAATTGGTTCTATCATTAAAAAAAAACATGGAAAAAGTTTATTAAACTGCACAAACTTTGTTTCTGAGGGAGGGACATCCTGCTACAGCACATTTTGCTCTAGGTTGTTGTAGTTTTTTCAGGCTATATGGCCATGGTCTAGAGGCATTCTCTCCTGACGTTTCGCCTGCATCTATGGCAAGCATCCTCAGAGGTAGTGACCCGAAAAAACTACAACAACCCAGTGATTCTGGCCATGAAAGCCTTCGACAATACATTTTGCTCTAGTTTTTCAATGAATATCTCATAGAGTCACAACAAATTCAACATAGTTTGTGCCACAAGAACAAAGTTTCTGGAGTAGAACAACTACTTTCAAAGTAAGGACGGCACAATTAAACAGGAAATAATACTTTCAAACCAGGAACAGAAAAAAAAATCTAATTTTGTTACATAGCAAATGTAATTGATGCAGTGAGTTTCCTCTATAGCTGGCCTTCCAAATTTGCAGGATTGATTTTTGAAAGTTTGATTATTCTGGGATATGGATAAAAAAGACGAGTTAGGAATTTTGGATTTTTTCAGGTTCTAAAAACATGTAATTACAGAAATAAATACAATGAAACATCTTGAAGATTGGACCTGAATCTTAGCCTGAATAATAATAATAATAATAATAATAATATATTATTATTATTATTATTATTATTATTATTATTATTATTATATATTAATAATAACTGGGACTGTGGCGCAGCTGTCTGAGTGTCAGCTGCATTAAGATCACTTCTGACCAAAAGGTCATGAGTTTGAAGCCGGCCCGGGTTGGAGTGAGCTTCCAACCAATTGTGTAGCTTGTTGTTGACCTTTGCAACCCGAAAGACAGCTGCATCTGTCAAGTGAGAAAATTAGGTACCACCTATGTGTGGGGAGGCTAATTTAACTAATTTACAAGGCCATAAAAAAGACTCCAGCAAAGCACTCCAGCAAAAGCATGCGGGGAATGCGGAAGTACTTCATCAGTGTTGCAGATGGACAATGAAAGCAACAGCTCCCCTGCCGGCCGGAAAAGTTAAATAGCCTCTGACTGTCTGTCTATATGTGTGGTGTGTCATTGGCATTGAATGTTTGCCATATATGTGTACATTGTAATCCGCCCTGAGTCCCCTGCGGGGTGAGAAGGGCGGAATATAAATACTGCAAATAAATAAATAAATAAACTTTATTTAATGCTCCGCCACCATCTCCCCAATGGGGACTCAGGGCGGCTTACCTGAGGTCAAGCCCAGTAAAACCAAAACACAATAATAACACAGTAAAATACATACAACATATGAGTAGAAAAACAACGAAGCAAAATCATACCCAAAACAACATAACAATGAGCGGGCCGAATGTGCATTTCATTTCCAACATAAATTACACATAGTCTGAAGATGATTTAATTTCCGGCGAAACTCAAGAGATAATATGGATTCAGGAATAATGTGAATAATAACCTGCCGTCCCAATTGCTTGGACATAAGCAAACACCAGATCTGACTGGCCCTTTAAGGAGCCTTCCAGCTTCTGGAGGTCTTCCAGGGTCCGCAGATACTTGACTTCGTTGAAGAGGAGGGCGCTGGAAAGGGAAAAAAAGAGGAAAATGCATTATTCTACCATTACAGATCTAATTAATTTAAACTTATTAGAGCAGTGGTTCTCAACCTTTCTAATGCTGCGACCCCTTAATGCAGTTCCTCATGTCGTGGTGACCCCCAACCATAATATTATTTCCGTTGCTACTTCATAACTGGAATTTTGCTACTGTTATGAATCATAATATAAATATCTGATATGCAGGATGTATTTTCATTCACTGGACCAAATTTGGCACAAATACGTGAATACTGGTGGGGTTGGCAGGGGATTGATGTTGTCATTTGAGAGTTGTAGTGGGAGGTATAGTTTACCTACGATCAAAGAGCATTATGAACTCTAACAATGGAACTGAACCAATCTTGCCACACAGAACTCCCTTGAACAACAGAAAATACTGGAAGGGTTTGATGGGCATTGACCTTAAGGTTTGGAGTTGTAGTTCACCTACATCCAGAGAGCACTATGGACTCATACAATGATGGATCTGGACCAAACTTGCCATGAATACTCAATGTGCCCAATGTGAATGAACACTGCTGGAGTTTGGGGAAAATAGACCTTGGCATTTGAGAGTTTTAGTTGCTGGGATTTATAGTTCACCTACAATAAAAGATCATTCTGATCCCCACCAATGATAGAATTGGGCCAAACTTCCCACATGGAACCCCTATGACCAACAGAAAATACTATGTTTTTGGATGGCCTTTGGTGACCCCTCTGAAACCCCCTCGTGACCCCCCAGGGGTCCCGACCCCCAGGTTGAGAACCACTGTACTAGAGTTACTAAAGTTCCTAGTAACCATAACCACAGATTAGAACATCTGGGAGATCTCTTCTTGCTCAAAAACTGCACAAATGGTTTCCATTCTTAATTTGGAAACATAGGCCGAATTCGTACGGTTGCATATTCCTTATCCAAAATGATTCGGACCAGCGGTTGTTTTGGATTTTCTGTATTTTGGATTATCTACATTTGCATAAATGCACATAATTAGATAGGTGGCATTCAAAAATGTCCACAACCAGCCCCATGAGACCTGGGGTACATCTACATTGTACAATGAATGCAGTTTGACACCACTTTTAACACATGATTCTACGCTAATTACAACGAGCAGCCAAGTAGTAGTAAGATTTTAAATTGATTTTCAGACGGGGAAATATAGAAAAATAATCCCAACGCCGCTCAGCCAAATTATAACGATACATCACCACTATAGACTAGCTCACCAAAATAGAGAGGGAGCATGGTTGCTGAACCAACTGTATTTTTAAAAGATAGGAACTGGGAACCACTGGAACTGAGAGACTTAAAATGATTCTTCAAAAGATTTCCGCTGCCACCATATTAATAATACACAGGCTGAGGTATTATTGAGAGGTTGTTCAGTAACACTGTTGCGACCCAGAGCAGGAAACTGGACCCTAAGACAACAATCCACCACACTTGACTTCAGGAAAAACAATCCTTTTTATTGATGAAAGATGAGTACAAAAATAGAGGAAAATATGCAAGGTAAAAGCCACAGTAAAAATCACCAACAAGAAATGTCCATGAACAAGATCAAAAACCCACAGTAACACTGCTAAATCCTGGAACCTGTTAGCAATCCACTAACCGTACTTGAAGCACTAGAAAAACTCCTTGGAACAAAGCCACTGGAAGCAGGAGAACTGCAAGAATCTGCACATGAATCTGAAACGATGCCTGGTCTGAAGATGTATCCAGGCGAGAGGCACTTAAAGCCGAGAAATCTATTATGTGACACGCCTGAAGGCTTTGAAGGCCTTGTTTGCATTTCTCTCAATCTAGCTGACCTTCGTAGACCTAGCGATTCCCCCCTGCTCTGACAAATCTGTCCTCATTAGAGAGCCCAGGTGTCAGATTCTCTGAAGAGCCAAAACAAAGTGAAAGTTCACCACTTGGCTCTGAAATATTCTCATGGAAATTTGGACTTTCACTTTCCAAGGCTGCAGGGGTTTCTTCTACATTGACCTCAGAATCAACATCCTCATTAGCATCAGGAAATATATTAGCATCAGGAAATACAATCAGAGAATCAGGTTCAGGTTCACACACAGGGTGAACCCCAACAAACAACTCTGTGTCACTATAGTTTTCTTAAAGGCTGTTAAAACCTGAGTTGAATAACGCTTTGACCACAAAGGTATTCACACTGAGGCTAGTATAAGTTGAGAAAAATAACAAGAACGTTTATTGAACAGGCTTGAATATTTGAGGTACAAATGCTTAATGGTTTCAGTAAAATACTGGCATAAAAAACTTGTGGTTGCGTTTGAGTAAATATCTTTAAACACTTCTGGGTTACAAGTCTTAAAAGTTCCACCACATAAAATTACTTCAGGAAATAAATCTCTGAACGTAACTCCCAAAAATCCCCCTTAGGAATCTAGCCAAAAACCCTGAACTACACTTCCTTAGGAAATGAACAGACCTGTGCTGTCGCGCCTGAGGACTATAACTCTTAGTGAAAGAGGCATGGATGAGCTCTTAGTGAAAGAGGCATGGACGTGACATCTTTCCCCAGGGGATAGCTTCTTGCCCTCCTTTAGGAAACTGGAATTCTCAAAGACCCAAACACTGTAGATAACTCAAAATAAGTTTTATTGTTCACAAAGAGTTATCTCTTTAAGGCAATAAGCTGGAAGTTTCAACGGGGTGAAGGAAAATGTATATTACAGTCTCTGGTTGTCTTGGGTCCAAGAAGTTTTGAAGCTGAGAAGCTTTTCCAGGTCCCTCTTTCTCAATGGTTGTAAATGCCGAAGCAATTCACAACCCCAGTCCAGATGGCCTATGTTCGAAGACACAGGGTCTTCCTCTGGTGCCAAAGGAACTGGTCTGAAGGCGCTTGAGATTTCCCAACGTCGTTCAGGTTGATCTGAACATGAAGCATAAGTCTCAAGGGTAAGAACCTCAGAATTGGTGCTGAGAGGTAATTTAATCAGGGGCTTTTAGAGCCATCTGATAGAAAATCTGAAGGTGGAATGAAAAAAGGAAGCACTGCCCTCTTCCAGGAAGAGGTAGAGCCAAACAATTGAGCTGAAAAAGCAATTCAACTGGTGCAAACAACACTGAGTGTTGGGGTTCAGCCTGATCCTGATCTGTGTGAACCGGATTCTCTGACAGTTTTTCCAACTGAGCAAGCTCTCCCTGACCCTGACAGTGTGGAATCTGTTGTTGATGCAGAGGTCAGCAGCGATGAAAACGAAACTCAACAGCTGGAGGAAAATGTTTTGTTAGTTAGCCGTGATATCTCTCCACCTGGGGTTTTTAATGAGGACCGAAGAGAACAGATAGTTAGAGACAGAAATGTTTCCCAATTTCTACGAAGGTCACATCGTTTACAGGAGAGACAGGCCCAGACATCAAAGTCAAGGGGCGTTTCAAAGAATAGCTTCTTTGGTTTAAGAGGCCTCCTGTCGGGTGCCTCTTTAGATCAAGCAACGTTTGGGACTGTGGCTGTGCCTTGGCAGAATTCCTGTGTTTCATGGCCGGTAATCCCAGAGGCTTAGTTATCAAGTTCATGGTTAGTAAAAGGCTAACAGATTCCTGGTTCTTGTATTGTGGCTTTTGAAATTCTGCTCAAGTTCAGAGATTCTATTGACTGTTGTGTTTTTCTGTGGCTTTTTGACTTTGCATTTACCTTTCTTTTGTAACCAATTTTTCATCAATAAACAAGGATTGCTTTTCCTACAGTCCAGTGTGGTGGATTTAATCTTATGGTCTCATTTCTTGAACTGGGATGCAACACTGATTGACAGCTATAAATAACCAATCAATCCAACTATACATAAACAGGGTAAAAAGGCAGAATCCTAGCCTTCTGATTTTCCCTCCTAGACTTGAACACGCCCCCCCCCCTTAAGGCAAACCTAACCTAAGATGGCTTCTCCCTGTCTCCCTTTCCTAAAATGGATGCTGTGGCTTCGCATGGCCCACTCCCTTTAGGCTTTTGTCAGCTAGCTAAGGAAAGGGATTCATTACACTAATGAATCCTGGGATTTGATAAGTAACCAGCACTCTTTGGCAGAGAAGGCCAAAGTTCCTGCAAAACTATAGTTTCCAGTATTCCATAGAACTGGCCCATGATAGTTCAAGTGGTATCAAACTGTATCTATTCTGCAGTGCAGATGCACCCTTGGCTGGTTGTGCATCCCTATTGTTGCCAATTATTTCTTGCTCTGCCTTTTCTCCAAGATGGTGCTTCATCCCTCAAATCCTGGACTCTTCCAAAATCCCTGCAGCACAGAATGGGGGGAAATGACCAGGAAAAAGAAAAGCATCACTACTCACAAGAGGACATTGGCCACAATGGCATCCACGCTGAACAAGGCATCCGTAGGCAGCTCCCGAAGCAGCACGTGGCCCCTGCGGAGTAATCAGAATATCGCAAAATAAGAGGAAACAACAATAGATAACTGGGTGCAATCTCCAGGCAATACACGAGAGAAGATAAACATGAGCTGAAAGCACATAAAGAAAATTGAATTGTGGGAGTTGATGTCCAAAACACTTGGAGGGCCAAAGCTTGCCTATGTCTGCTTTCGCTGGAAATCCTGCATTTAGCAGAGGGTTGGACTAGATGGCCTTTGGGATCCCTTCCATCTTGATGATTCTAAATGATCACTGATTCTGATTATAAAAATCTTAAAAGGAATATGGGGGAAAAGAATGATTGATGAGGAGTTGTAGGTTTTTCGGGCTGTATGGCCACGTTCTAGAAGCATTCTCTCCTGACGTTTCACCTATATCTATGGCACGCATCCTGAGAGGTTGGCCTTACAACGTCTGAGGATGCCTGCCATAGATGCAGGTGAAACGTCAGGAGAGAATGCTTCTAGAACATGGCCATATAGCCTGCAAAACCTACAACAACCCAGTGATTCCAGCCACGAAACCCTTTGGCAATACAATGATTGATGACATAGAATGCATGATCATCAAGTTTGCAGACGACACCAAATTGGGAGGGATAGCCAATACTCCAGAGGAGGAGTAGGATTCAAAACAATCTTGACATACTAGAGAGATGGGCCAAAACTAACAAAATGAAGTTCAACGGGGACAAATGCAAGATACTCCACTTAGGCAGGAAAAACGAAATGCCAAGATACAGAATGGGTGAAGCCTGGCTCAAGAGCAGTACGTGTGAAAAAGATCTTGGAGTCCTCGTGGACAACAAGTTAAACATGAGCCAGGAATGTGATGTGGCGGCAAAAAAAGCCAATGGGATTTTGGCCTGCATCAATAGGAGCATAGTGTCTAGGTCCAGGGAAGTCATGCTCCCCATGCTCTAATCCGCTTTGGTTAGACCACTTTACCTGGAATATTGTGTCCAATTCTGGGCACCACAATTCAAGAGAGATATTGACAAGCTGGAATGTGTCCAGAGGAGGGTGACTAAAATGATCAAGGGTCTGGAGAACAAGCCCTATGAGGAGCGGCTTAAGGAGCTGGGCATGTTTAGCCTGAAGAAGAGAAGGCTGAGAGGAGATATGATAGCCATGTATAAATATGTGAAAGGAAGCCACAGGGAGGAGGGAGCAAGCTTGTTTTCTGCTTCCCTGGAGACTAGGACGTGAAACAATGGCTTCAAACTACAAGAAAGGAGATTCCATCTGAACATGAGGAAGAACTTCCTGACTGTGAGAGCCGTTCAGCAGTGGAACTCTCTGCCCCGGAGTGTGGTGGAGGCGCCTTCTTTGGAAGCTTTTAAACAGAGGCTGGATGGCCATCTGTCAGGGGTGATTTGAATGCAATATTCCTGCTTCTTGGCAGAATGGGGTTGGACTGGATGGCCCAGGAGGTCTCTTCCAACTCTTTGATTCTATGATTCTGTGACATTCAGGAGGGCTCAACAAACATCCAAATTGAGAAAACAGTAATGCAGTTTGCAAATTTTTAGATGAATCAGGTCAGAATCAAAGCCAGCTTTCCCGTTTTATTTGAGATATATACCAACTTTTTTTGGAAACCCAATCACAACCCAGTTCCATCTAAGCGACGTCTGTAGTCTCTTCTACACTGCCACATAAAATCCAGATTATCTGCTTTGAACTGGAGTATATGACAGTGTAGACTAATATAATCCAGTTCAAAGTAGATTATGTGGATTATCTGCTTTGATAATCTGGATTATATTGCAATGTAAAAGGGGCCTGAGTTTGGTAACTTTTACCTTTGCAATCGGGTGAACGACTTACCTGAACAGGTACGCTTTCCCTATCGAATTGTCTTCTCTACAGTAACGTGAGGCTTCCCCTTCTTTGTGGCAGTTCACCTGTGACAAGAAAGGAAGGCATCTTATGATTATATTTATCAAGAGAGCATATCTGAAAATATTGGGCCAATTTTTCAGGCACCGCATTAGTTAACAAATTCCAGACGAATCTTAGTGTGGGTAACAGTTCCAAGCATACAATGAATGGCTGCACACATTATTTTTTTTCGTGTCAGGAGCAACTTGAGAAACTGCAAGTCACTTCTGGTGTGAGAGAATTGGCTGTCTGCAAAGACGTCGCCCAGGGGACGCCCAGATGTTTTGATGTTTCACCATCCTTGTGGGAGGCTTCTCTCATGTCCCCGCACAGGGAGCTGGAGCTGACAGAGGGAGCTCATCCGCCCTCTCCCCGGATTCGAACCAATGAATGGCTGCACATAATGAATCAATTGGGAGGGACCCCTAGAGGCCATCCAGCCCAACCCGATTCTGCCAGGCACAATCCAATCCCCACCAGCAGATGGGTATAAATAAACATTATTGTTGTTGTTGTTGTTGTTGCTGCTGCTGCTGCTGTTTGAAACACCACAAGATGAGTCCACAGCAGACAAGATCACTCTGCTGGCTGTTGTATTGGATCACACGTCGGATTGTGTGATGTATCGGCAAATAATGCGTGCAGATCCCTTTAAGGTGGCCTTTTGCAGCTGGCAGATGGTAATCTTTTCAGTGCCAATTGTATTTAAGTGCAGGCCAAGGTCTTTAGCCACTGCACCCAGATTATTATTATTATTATTATTATTATTATTATTATTATTACTATTATTAGCAGTTAAATTGGTTTCAAACTGCATAGTTTCTATAGGATAGTTGCAGGAAAACAACACTTCCTTCCACTTAAGAGGACATACTCTCAAATATTTTTACATGGCTATCATGTCCTCTTCTTCAATGTCTCTTCTCTAAGCGGGACCTTTTAAACAGAGGCTGGACGGACATCTGTCAGGGGTGCTTTGATTGTGCTTTTCCTGCATGGCGGAAAAGGATTGTATAATCCTCCTCCCAGTTCTCTCATTTCATTGTACTCATCCAGCCTTTTCCCTCCATGCATTTGATGGATGTATATACCTTTAAGACTGAAATTCCGTAATCTCGGAGGGCTTCGACGGAGTTTTCTAGCTGTTCCAAGAAAATCTCAGCCGACGGAGATGCTGCAAATGCAAACAAACGCTATTTCAGGCTCATAATCACAGTTATGATAATTAGAGTTACACACAGTTCACAGTTATGGTAATGACTAAAACTCCTTGCTGGACTGTAATTAAAAGTTGCAAATAAGAACTGAAAAGGAAACTCTGATCAGAACTGGACAGTAATAATCTACACCACACATGAGCAAACTTTGGCCCTCCGGGTGTTTTGGACTCCAACTCCCACAATTCCTAACAGTCTACCGCAGGGGTCCCCAAACTTTTTGAACAGAGGGCCGGGTCGCAGTCCCGCAAACCGTTGGGGGGCCGGATTATAATTTGAAAAAAAATGAATGAATTCCTATGCACTCTGCACATATATTATTTGCAGTGCAAAAAAAACCCCCAAAAAATCAAAAAACAAAGACCCACACTTCTATATAAATAAAAATGTAATGTTTGTTTGTGGGATTAACAGAACTCAAAAACCACTGGACGAATTGAAAATTTGGACACAAGACACCGAACAACCCAATGAATGTCCTTCACTCAAAAAAAAATGATTTTGTCATTTGGGAGTTGTAGTTGCTGGGATTTATAGTTCACCTACAATCAAAGAGCATTCTGAACTCCACCAATGATGGAATTGAACCAAACTTGGCACACAGTTCTCCCATGACCAACAGAAAATACTGGAAGGGTTTGGTGGGCAGTGTCCTTTGGTTTTGGAGTTGTAGTTCACCTGCCTCCATCAATCACTGTGGACTCAATGATAGATCTGGACCAAACTTGGCACTGATATTCCATATGCCCAAATGTGAACACTTGTGGAGTATGGGGGAAATAGAATCTTGACGTTTGAGAGTTGTAGTTGCTGGGATTTATAGTTCACCTACAATCAAAGAGCATTCCGAGCCCCATCAACGGTGGAATTGAACCAAACTTGGCACACAGTTCTCCCATGACCAACAGAAAATACTGGAAGGGTTTGGTGGGCAGTGTCCTTTGGTTTTGGAGTTGTAGTTCACCTGCCTCCATCAATCACTGTGGACTCAATGATAGATCTGGACCAAACTTGGCACTGATATTCCATATGCCCAAATGTGAACACTTGTGGAGTATGGGGGAAATAGAATCTTGACGTTTGAGAGTTGTAGTTGCTGGGATTTATAGTTCACCTACAATCAGAGAGCTTTCTAAACTCCACTAATGATGCAATTGAACCAAACTTGGCACACAGTTCTCCCATGACCAACGGAAAATACTGGGAGGGTTTGGTGGGCAGTGTCCTTTGGTTTTGGAGTTGTAGTTTACCTGCCTCCTTGGAGACCAGAGCGGCCGGAGCAGAGGGCTCCCGCGATGGGCGGAGCGGCGCCGGGTGGGCATGGCCAGGCCAGGCCAGGCCGCACGGGCCGGAGAAATGCCCTCGGCGGGCCACATACTGCCCGCGGGCCGTAGTTTGGGGACCCCTGGTCTACCGGCTGAGATTAGTTTCTTCCTCATATTCTGTATGTCACTATTTCACTAAAGCGTTCCCATTTTATTTGTAAATAAATAAAATTTCATTTCCTAACCAAAGGCAATACAAATGCAAGGAGCAAGAAGCACTCACTGTCCTTCCGAAAATAGACCAAGGCTGCTTTCGACCTCGGCAAGGTGCTGAGATGCTCCTCCTGGGAGCCGAGCTCCGGAATAGCATCCTCCTCTTCACATCTGGCCACATCAAAGATGAGGAGGAAGAAGAAGAAAAGATCCATTGGAAGGAACAGCACGGCTCCTGCAGTTCAATGTGGTCACAGAGGCACCGGCCCTTTAAAATGAAAAGCATCACTGTTATTGATGCAACTTGCATCGAGTCTCTTAACAGGGGTGCATCTGCACTGCAGGATTAACTAGAGTCACTAGTACTCAATACGATGGAATCCTCAGAGCTGCAAACAAGACCTTGTAGAACTGCAACTCCCAAGATTCTAGAGCATTGAGCTAAGGTTGTTCAAGTGGTGTCCAATTGCATTAAGTCTATATAGCTGCACCCTATAAGGACATTTCGCAGATGACATGCAGAATATATTATTTATTTATTTATTTATCCCACAAGTGGGATTCAAAGCGGTGTACAATGGTTAAAAACCACAGAAATTTCATAACACAAGAAATCAGCACAGCTGACCAAAAGGTCAGCGCTTCGAATCCGAGGAGTGGGGTGAGCTCCTGCTGCTAGCTCCAGCTTCTGCCAAACTAGCAGTTTGAGAACATGCAGATGTGAAATCAATAGGTACCCAAACGTCCATCTAGTCCAACCCCCTTCTAGAAGAATGAAGACACAATCAAAGCCCTCCCTATAGATGGCCACTCCACTCCTGTTTAAAAGCCTCTGAAGGACAAAAAAAGGGGAGACACATAATGGCATTGTGCTTGAAAAGGAAGAGGTGGAAGAGACCCCAAGTATCATCCAGGAAGACATCATATTGGGAGGGATACCAATACTCCAGAGGACAGGAGAAGAAGTCAAAACGATCTTGACAGATTAGAGAGATGGGACAAAACTAACAAAATGAAGTTCAACAGGGACAAATGCAAGATACTCCACTTTGGCAGGAAAAACGAAATGCAAAGATACAGAATGGGGGACGATGATGCCTGGCTCGAGAGCAGTACGTGTGAAAAAGATCTTGGAGTCCTCGTGGACAACAAGTTAAACATGAGCCAACAATGTGATGTGGCAGCAAAAAACGCCAATGGGATTTTGGCCTGCGTCAATAGGAGCATAGTGTCTAGGACCAGGGAAGTCTTGCTCCCCATGCTCTATTCCGCTTTGGTTAGACCACACCTGGAATATTGTGTCCAATTCTGGGCACCACAACTGAAGAGAGATATTGATCAGCTGGAATGTGTCCAGAGGAGGGCGACTAAAATTATCAAGGGTCTGGAGAACAAGCCCTATGAGGAGCGGCTTAAGGAGCTGGGCATGTTTAGCCTGAAGAAGAGAAGGATGAGAGGAGATATGATAGCCATGTATAAATAGGTGAGAGGAAGCCACAGGGAGGAGGGAGCAAGCTTGTTTTCTGCTTCCCTGGAGACTAGGACGCAATGGAACAATGGCTTCAAACTACAAGAGGAGATTCCATCTGAACATGAGGAAGAACTTCCTGACTGTGAGAGCCGTTCAGCAGTGGAACTCCCTGCCCCGGAGTGTGGTGGAGGCTCCTTCTTTGGAAGCTTTTAAACAGAGGCTGGATGGCCATCTGTCAGGGGTGATTTGAATGCAATATTCCTGCTTCTTGGCAGGGGGTTGGACTGGATGGCCCATGAGTGTCTCTTCCAACTCTGATTCTATGATTCTATATCATGTGATATGTCATGCTGGAAGACACAATCCAATCCCTCCTGACAAATGGGTGAAGCACGAGTATTCTTGTGCAGGGGAGGCTAAAGGCCTTGTAAAACTATAATGCCCAGAATCCTATCACATGCAGCTATGGCAATTAAAACAGTGTCTCTAGTGTAGACGCGTCCGTCGTTTCACTGTAAAATAAATGACATTTGCTAGCCCTAAACACTTAGATTCCTGGTTCGCAAACAATAAGCCCATTCAGATTGACATTTTGGTTGTTTACTCTTTTTGCACAGAAAGGCATTCCTTCCCAACTTTTTTAACATTGGAAAGTACCAAATATTTCAGTTCTTGTGGGTTTTTTCGGGCTATATGGCCATGTTCTAGAGGCATTTCTCCTGATGTTTCGCCTGCATCTATGGCAAGCTTCCTCAGAGCTTGCCATAGATGCAGGCGAAACATCAGGAGAAATGCCTCTAGAACATGGCCATATAGCCCGAAAAAACCCACAAGAACTGAGTGATTCCGGCCATGAAAGCCTTCGACAATATACCAAATATTTTCTGGTAACTATAATTGATATTAAGATTTAATCTATGGATGAATGCAAAGTTTCCTGCAAATCTCTTGGGAAGACAAGCGGACAAATGTCAGTGTGCTGGAAGAAGCAAAGACCACCAGCACTGAAGCCATAGTCCTCCGCCATCATCTCCGCTGGACCGGCCACGTTGTCCGGATGCCCGACCACAGCCTCCCAAAGCAGTTGCTCTGCTCCGAACTCAAGAACGGAAAACGGAATGTTGGAGGATAGGAAAAGAGATTCCAAAGCCAACCTTAAGAACTCTGGCATAGACACTGAGAATTGGGAAGCCCTGGCCCTTGAGTGCTCTAGCTGGAGGTCAGCTGTGACCAGCAGTGCTGTAGAATTTGAAGAGGCACAAATGGAGGGAGAAAGAGAGAAACGTGCCAAGAGGAAGGCGCGTCAAGCCAACCCCAATCGGGATAATAATAATAATAATAATAATAAATGTGCCAACTGCATCAACACAATATTCAAATTCAATGCTTTGTTCAAGAGGGCTGGTGAGACGAAAAATAAAATAATTATAATTATAATTATTATTCAATAATGATAATAATAAATGTGCCCATTGCGTCAACACAATATTCAAATTTGATGCTTTGTTCAAGAGGGATGGTGCGACGAAAAATAAAATTACTATTATTATTATTATTATTATTCAATAGCAATAATTATTGAATATTAAAAATCAGTATTAAAAAACTCAAAAATTACAACAGCAAAACAACAGAGAGTAAACAATCAGGCACATCAAATCACTCTCAACAAAAGATTCCCCCCAGGCACTTCCAAGCCATTAAATGCTAATCAAGGTGGTCAGTTGAAACATTCACACCTAGCTCCAGCAGGCAAGAGTCCTTTGTCCCACCCTGGTCATTCCACAGATATTATATATATATATTATATATTATATATTATATATTATATATAGTTCCAACAGACCTCACTACCTCTGAGGATGCTTGCCATAGATGCAGGTGAAACGTCAGGAGAAAATGCCTCTAGACCATGGCCATATAACCTGAAAAACCTACAACAACCCAATAATAATAAATGTGCTCACTGCGTTAACACAATATTCAAATTCGATGCTTTGTTCATGAGGGCCTATAAGCAAGTCCTATAAATAATAAAAATATAAATAAATAAATAATATACATAAGTGCCTATAAACAAGTCCTAAAGCTGAGTCCTTATTTGATTGTTTATGTAAACAATGCCATTAAAAAGTCCCAAGATCTGGTTTCTTAGGTCTATTTATTCCAGGAAGCAAACAACTGAGGATTGTCAATAGAGAAAGGATTCGAATTCAGATCTTCCCTTTTTGGGGGGTTGGAATGGATGACCTTTGGGGAACCCTTTCCAACAATGCAAGGCTATGATGCAAAGGATTGGGGGCCATTTAAAGGCCCAGGTTTTAACTATGACTCCTGTATGCATAAAATCCAAAACAACCCAAAACAACTCATAATGGTTCTCAATAACCCATAAATAATAAATAAATAATAAATGCAAATTAATAATAATAATTAATAAATGCAAATAAATAATAATAATAAATAAATAATTGCAAATTAATAATAATAAATAATAAATAATAATAATAATAAATAATAAATGCAAAATAATAATAATAATAATAATAATAATAAATGCAAATATATAATAATAAATGCAAATAAATAAATAATAAATAAATGCAAATTAATAAATAATAATAAGTGCAAATTAATTAATAATAATAAATAATAAATAAATGCAAATATATAATAATAATAATAAAAAATAATAAATAAATACCCATAAATAATAAATAAATAATAAATGCAAAATAATAATAATAATTAATAAATGCAAATAAATAATAATAAAAAATAAATAATTGCAAATTAATAATAATAAATAATAATAATAAATAAAATAAATAAATAATAATAATAAATGCAAATTAATAATAATAATAATAAATGCAAATATATAATAATAAATAAATGCAAATAAATAAATAATAAATAAATGCAAATTAATAAATAATAATAAGTGCAAATTAATTAATAATAATAAATAATAAATAAATGCAAATATATAATAATAATAAATAAATAAATGCAAATAAATAATAATAATAAATGCAAATTAATTAATAATAATAAATAATAAATAAATGCAAATAAATAATAATAATAAATAATAAATAAATGCAAATTAATAACAATAATAATAATAAATGCAAATTAATTAATGCAAATTAATGCACAGAGACCCATCCTATCAAAGAAGAAAAGCCAGGCTTACATTGAGAGCTGGCCTAATTCTGTGCAATCTGTTGGGTTTTGGGGAAAAGATCCTTGGCAGAGGCTTCTGATTATAAATAGATAAGATATATTTAAAATATGGGATGCTTAGCAAGCCAAGGAGAAAAGCAGCCAAGCCTTTGCAATCAAATCTAAGACAATTTTCAGATTTTTAAATTGCTTTTGCAAGAAAAGGAAGCCTGGTTTTGAATATATACCTCCAAGGCTGGTTTTATTTTTCAGTTTTCTATTGCAACGCCCGGAATACTTCTGCATGCAAAAAAAACAAAACCATTACATAATGTATAATATAATATAATATAATATAATATAATATAAGAACTAGAGAATTGGTCAAAATAACATAATATTATTTTGCAAAATGCAAGCTAAAACCCCAAAACAAACATATAATATAATATAATATAATATAATAACTAGAGAATTGGTCAAAATAACATAATATTATTTTGCAAAATGCAAGCTAAAACCCCAAAACAAACATATAATATAATATAATATAATATAATAACTAGAGAATTGGTCAAAATAACATAATATTATTTTGCAAAATGCAAGCTAAAACCCCAAAACAAACATATAATATAATATAATATAATATAATAACTAGAGAATTGGTCAAAATAACATAATATTATTTTGCAAAATGCAAGCTAAAACCCCAAAACAAACATATAATATAATATAATATAATATAATATAATATAATATAATATAATATAATATAATATAATATAATAAGAACTAGAGAATTGATCAAAATAACATAATAACAAAATATAATAATATTATTTTGCAAAGAGCTCCTATTCAATGCAGGCCTCTTTTTAGCTCCGGGTGGGCGGAGAAAAAGGGGGAAGGGTGAAAAAAGAAAAGGACCAAAAAGAAAAACAACCCTGATGCAGAAGGAATGAGAAAAAGAGGATGAGAAAGAGGTGGAGAAATCCGGAGCGGGCGGGCGGCGCCAACCTAAAAATCCACGCCCCTTCCCTGAGTCTAAGCGAGAGAGGGATGCAAGAGGGAAAGGAGGCGGGGAGACACTTCCGAGGGGCCAATGACGGCGGCGCTGTGCACACCGCGGGCCAATCAGGAGGCGAGGCTGAGCCTCAAAACTCGCTTGTTGTTGCTGAGTTTGCGGAGAGAGCAGGCGGCGGTGGTGCGACTCGGGAGGGTGCAATCTGAACCCAAGGGTTCCAATGGGCCGGGGTGTGAGAGCCATGCAAGCCGGGGAAAGGTGGTGGTAAGGCGGGGAGGCTGCCAGGAGGATGGCGGCGGCGGGGCTGCAGCCCGGGCTGGAGCTGGGCGCGAGGCTGGTGCAGGGTCTTCTCTGCGGCGGCCTCTTCCTCTTCGCCTACCTGCAGCTCTGGCTGCTGCTCTGCGGGAGGGAGAAGCGGCTGAGCTTCCGCGCGGCGGGGCTCTTCCTGGGTCTGCTCTGGGCCGCCCTCCGCACCGTCCTCTGCGCCGCCCTCCTCCCGGCACGCCCCCGCCGGAGCCTCCCCGCCGCCCCCCGCTGGCTCCTCGGCGCCGCCCCCGCCGCCCTCCGCTTCGCCGCACTCGCTCTCCTCAACCTCTACTTCGCGCAGGTGAGTCACCACCTGAGCCCTCCCCGCAGGTGGCCAGGCAGACCCTCCTGGAGGGACCCCCAAAGGACAGGCTTGCATTCATGCAGTCCTAGAGTTGGAAGGGGGTCCCAAAGGCCATCCAGTCCACCCACCTTGTGAGCCCTCCCGACAGATGGCCAGGCAGCCCCTAGGCTTGCATTCATACAATCCTAGTGTTGGAAGGGGCCCCAAAGGCCATCCAGTCCACCCACCTTGTGAGCCCTCCTGACAGATGGCCAGGCAGCCTCTGCTGGAGGAATCTACAAACAACAGGCTTGCATTAATATAATCCTAGAGTTAGAAGGGGTCCCGAAAGGCCATCCAGTCCACCCACCTTCTAAGCCCTCCAGACAGATGGCCAGGCAGCCCCTAGGTTTGCATTCATACAATCCTAGAGTTGGAAGGGGTCCCCCTCAAAGGCCATCCAGTCCAAGCTCACTTACATTCATTGAATCAAGGGACCCCAAAATGACATCCAGTCCACTCACTTTCCAAACCCTCCCGACAGCTGGCCAGACCATCCAGTCCAAGCCCAGTTACATTCATTGAATCAAGGGGTCCGAAAAGGTCATCCACTCCACCCACCTTCTAAGCCCTCCCGACAGATGGCCAGGCAGCCCCTAGGCTTGCATTCATACAGTCCTAGAGTTGGAAGGGGGTCCCCAAAGACCATCCAGTCGAAGCTCATTTACATTCATTGAGTCAATGGGTCTCCAAAATGACATCCAGTCCACCCACCTTCTAAAGCCCTCCCGACAGATGGCCAGGCAGCCCCTAGGCTTGCATTCATACAATCCTAGAGTTGGAAGGGGTTCCCAAAGGTCATCCAATCCAAGCCCAGCTACATTCATTGAATTAAGGGATCCCAAAGGCCATCCAGTCCACCCACTTTCTAAGCCCTCCTGGCAGATGGCCAGGCAGCCCCTGCTGGAGGAATCTACAAACAGCAGGTTTGCATTCATGGAATCCTAAAGTTGGAAAGGGGTCCCTAAAGGCCATCCAGTCCAAGCCCAGTTACATTCATTGAATTAAGGGGTCCCCAAAGGCCATCCAGTCCACTCACCTTCTAAAGCCCTCCCGACAGATGGCCAGGCAGCCCCTGCTGGAAGAACTCCCAAAGGACAGGCTTGCATTCATATAGTCCTAGAGTTAGAAGGGGCTCCCCAAAGGCCACCCAGTCCAAGCTCATTTACTTTCATTGAATCAATGGGTCACCAAAGGTAATCTAGTCCGCCCACCTTCTAACCCGTCCCGACAGATGGCCAGGCAGCACCTGCTGGAAGAAGTCCCAAAGGACAGACTTGCAATCATACAGTCCTAGAGTTGGAAAGGGGTCCCCAAAGGCCACCCAGTCCAAGCTCATTTACATTCTTTGAATCAAGGGGTCCCCAAAGACCATCCAGTCCACCCACCTTCTAAGCCCTCCTGACAGATGGCCAGGCAGCTCCTAGGCTTGCATTCATACAATCCTAGAGTTGGAAAGGGGTCCCCAAAGGCCACCCAGTCCAACCTCATTTGCATTCATTGAATCAAGGGGTCCCCAAAGGCCATCTAGTCTACCCACCTTCTAAGCCCTCCCGACAGATGGCCAGGCAGCCCCTGCTGGAAGAATCAACAAACAGCAGGTTTGCATTCATACAATCCTAGAGTAGGAAAGGTGTCCCCAAAGGTCATCCAGTCCAAGCCCATTTACATTCATTGAATCAAGGGACCCCAAAATGACATCCAGTCCACCCACCTTCTAAAGCCCTCCCGACAGATGGCCAGGCAGCCTCTAGGCTTGCATTCATACAGTCCTAGAGTTGGAAAGGGGTCCCCAAAGGCCATCCAGTCCAAGCCCAGTTACATTCATTGAGTCAATGGGTCCCCAAAGGTAATCTAGTCCACCTACCTTCTAAAGCCCTCCTGACAGATGGCCAGGCAGTCCCTGCTGGAGGAACCACCAAAAGACAGGCTTGCATTCATACAATCTTACAGTTGGAAGGGTGCCCCGTTCCAACTCATTTACATTAATTGAATCAAGGGACCCCAAAGGCCATCCAGTCCAAGCCCAGTTACATTCATTGAATCAAGGGGTTCGAAAAGGTCATCCAGTCCACCCACCTTCTAAAGCCCTCCCGACAGATGGCCAGGCAGTCCCTGCTGGAGGAACCACCAAAGGACAGGCTTGCATTCATACAATCCTAGGGAGAAGGGGGTCCCCAAAGGCCATCCAATACAACCCCAGTTACAAGGGGTTCCCAAAATGACATCCAGTCCATCCACCTTCTAAAGCGCTCCCGACAGATGGCCAGGCAGCCCCTGCTGGAGGAATCTACAAACAGCAGGTTTGCATTCATTCAGTCCTAGAGTTGGAAACGGGACCCCAAAGGCCATCCAGTCCAAGCCCAGTTACATTCATTGAATCAAGGGGTCCCTAAAGGCCATCCAGTCCAAGCTCATTTACATTCATAGAATCAAGGGGTCCCCAAAATGACATCCAGTCCACCCACCTTCTAAAGCCCTCCCGACAGATGGCCAGGCAGCCCCTACTGGAGGAACCTACAAAGGACAGGCTTGCATTCATACAGTCCTAGAGTTGGGAAGGGTCCCCAAAGGCTATTCAGTCCATCTACTATTTGAGCCCTACTGACAGATGGCCAGGTAGCTCCTGTTGGAAGTACCTGCTAAGGACAGGCTTGCATTCATACAATCCTAGAGTTGGAAGGGGGTCCCCAAAGGCCATCCAGTCCAAGCCCAGTTAAATTCATTGAATCAAGGGGTCACCAAAGGCCAGCCAGTACATCCACCTTCTAAGCCCTCCTGGCAGATGGCCAGACCACCCCTGCTGGAAGAATTGCCAAAGAACAGGCTTGCATTCATACAATCTTAGAGTTGGGAAGGCGTCCCAAAGGGGCATCCAGTCAACCCACCTTCTAAGCCCTCCCGACAGATGGCCAGGCAGCCCCTGCTGGAGGAACCCCCAAAAGGACAAGCTTGCATTCACACAGTCCTAGAGTTAGAAGGGGCCCCCCAAAGACCATCCAGTCCAAGCTCATTTACATTCATTGAATCAAGGGACCCCAACATGACATCCAGTCCACCCACCTTCTAAGCCCTCCCCACAGATGGCCAGGCAGCCCCTGGGCTTGCATTCATACAATCCAAAAGTTAGAAGGGGCTCCCCAAAGACCATCCAGTCCAAGTTTATTTACATTCATTGAATCAAGGGACCCCAAAATGACATCCAGTCCATCCTCCTAAAGCCCTCCAGACAGATGTCCAGGCAGCCCCTGGGCTTGCATTCATACAATCCTAGAGTTAGAAGGGGTCCCCAAAGGCCATCCAGTCCACCCTCCACGCAGCTCCTGCTGGAAGAACTCCCAAAAGACAGGCTTGCATTCAGACCATCCTAGAGTTGGGAAGGGGTCCCCAAAGGCTATCCAGTCCACCTCCTTTTTAAGCCCTGAATCAAGGGGTTCCCAAAGGCCATCCAGTCTTTCCAAGCCCTCCCCACAGATGGCCAGGCAGCCCCTGCTGGAGGAATCTACAAAGGACAGGCTTGCATTCATACAATTCTAGAGTTAGAATGGGTCCCCCAAAGGCCATCCAGTTCATTGAATCAAGGGGTCCCCAAAAGTCCATCCAACCCACTCACCTTTAAGGTCTCCTGACAGATGGCCAGGCAGCCCCTGCTGGAAGAATTCCCAAAGGACAGGCTTGCATTCATACAGTCCTAGAGTTGGAAGGGGGCCCCCAATCCAAGCCCAGTTACATTCATTGAATCAAGGGGTCCCCAAAGGTCATCCAGTCCACCCACCTTCTAAGCCCTCCCGACAGATGGCCAGACCACCCCTGCTGGAAGAACTCCCAAAGGACAGGCTTGCATTCAAACAATCCTAGAGTTAGAAGGGAGCCCCCAAAGGCCATCCAGTCCAAGCCCAGTTACATGCCTTGAATCAAGGGGTCCCCAAAATGACATCCAGTCCACCCACCTTCTAAACCCTCCCCACAGATGGCCAGGCAGCCCCTGCTGGAAAAATTCCCAAAGGACAAGCTTGTATTCATACAATCCTAGAGTTGGAAGGGGGTCCCCAAAGGCCATCCAGTCTTTCCAAGCCCTCCCCACAGATGGTCAGGCAGCCCCTGCTGGAAGGATTCCCAAAGGACAGGCTTGTGTTCATACAATCTTAGAGTTGGGAAGGGGTCCCAAAAGGCCATCCAGTCCACCCACCTTCTAAGCCCTCCAGACAGATGGCCAGGCAGCCCCTAGGTTTGCATTCATACAATCCTAGAGTTGGAGGGGTCCCCAAAGGCCATCCAGTCCAAGCTCATTTACATTCATTGAATCAAGAGACCCCAAAATGACATCCAGTCCACCCACCTTCTAAGCCCTCCCGACAGATGGCCAGGCAGCCCCTAGGCTTGCATTCATTCAATCAATCCTAGAATTAGAAGGGGTCCCCAAAGGCCATCCAGTCCAAGCTCATTTACATTCATTGAATCAAGAGACCCCAAAATGACATCCAGTCCACCCACCTTCTAAGCCCTCCCGACAGATGGCCAGGCAGCCCCTAGGCTTGCATTCATTCAATCAATCCTAGAATTAGAAGGGGTCCCCAAAGGCCATCCAGTCCAAGCTCATTTACATTCATTGAATCAAGAGACCCCAAAATGACATCCAGTCCACCCACCTTCTAAGCCAGGGGTCCTCAAACTTTTTAAACAGAGGGCCAGGTCACAGTTCCTCAAACTGTTGGAGGGCCGGATTATAATTTTTTTTAAAAAATGAATTAATTCCTATGCACACTGCTCATATCTTATTTGTAGTGCAAAAGACACTTAAAAATAAAATAATTAAAATGTAGAACAATTTTAACAAATATAAACTTTCTGTGGGAAGAGTGGGCCTGCTTTTGGCTGATGAGATAGGATTGTTGTTGTTGTTGTTGTGTGCTTTCAAGTCATTTCAGACTTAGGTTGACCCTGAGCGAGGGCCGGGT